TTTTTTATATTACGTGGTAAAGTTGCGAATTCTCTCATTTAAACAATGTAAATTTATACTTTTTGTCATAGTTCGTTTGAGCGTTCTACCGGGCCGATTTCCATGATTTTTGCGTAGATCGTCAGGTAATTGGCCCTAGATGAGCCCGCTCTAATTAGATTTTGGAAATAGGACCCAGGTTTTTTTAAAATCACGTTATAAAAGTGAGTAAATTTACAGAATGCTCCGGGACTGCTACCGCTATGCGCGGGAGGATGCGCAGTGGTCGAAGAGGTTGCGCAGTGGATGTGTAGCCTGCGCATCAGCTCTACACTTATCTACACAAGATTCGCACTATTTTCCTCAAGACGAACGGTGGCCGAGTCGTCAAAGACGTCGGAAGCGTTCTATCAGTGCAAGATGTGGGTTCGATTCCCGTCTCCCGATATGCTTAATTATTACCTGATTATCAATATTCGTTGTTTTACTGCAATATTTCATCAAACAGTCATTACAAATCGCGCCCTTTAGACTAAAAAAAAAATTTTTGTTTCTTTATTCATCAAAACCAAAAATTATTTCATTCTAAAAGTAAAGTATACCTCATATCGTAATTTTTTAGGGGAAAAATAAATAAAACTAACACCGATAGGAGGGTAAAAATAGGGCCGCGAAGCGGCCCATTGATGGCGCGGAGCGCCTTCAGGGGGTTGGGCCGCGTAGCGGCCAGGGGGCGTAGCCCCCTAGTTTCACTCTATCCACAATTCCACATAGCCAGTCGCGACGCTTCAACTCGGCGCCAACAGAGCGCGCTGGTGATATGACACACAAAAATTATCTTCAAATTCCGTATTTACCGCGGGATATTCAAACGATTCATTGCAATTTCAAAAAAATCAGCCGATTGAAGCATTGCGGAAAGTTAAATTGGCTCGTTATAATATTTGAGACACCGACTGATTTTTGGCGACACCGTAAATGTAAAAGACGCATTCTTTTTGGTCTTTCACGCACAACCAGCTGATTGCTGATCCCAACCAACGCTGGAAGAATCCGAGTAGTCTCACGTCCACCTCAAACGCCCGTAATCAGCTAATGTTCGATCTACTAATTATCAGCCTGACCGTACCAGAATTCAGGAGCTCTCATACTTCTGGTCTGCTTCTAATTCAAGTGACTTGTTTAACTAATTACCTAGTGTTCAATTTGTCAATGTGAATGGCGTGAAGACTGCGCGCAAGATCCTCCCTAAATACTACTGTCTGCCCCAGATCAAATTGCCCTGACGTAATAAAAAGAGACGCAATTGATCTTACGTAATTAAAATGGTGATAGTAGGTGGCAATCAATGATTCAGAGGACTCGACATCGACCAAAATTAGCCAAACCGTGAGCCAAAATAATTATAGTATATAAATTTCAAACGAGTATTTTGTGAGTCGAAATAAGACTTTTTTTTGTCGTGCAACGTTTTTTCTCCCGCTTCACACACCCAACATTTTGAGAGGGTAAATAATTTTGTTTGTGTACTGAGGAAAAAATAATTTGGGCCCATTACTTAAAAGTTCAATTCTTCACAAACTGGCCCCACAAGATGGATTTTGATTTCCCTCTTTTTAAAGGTGAAAACTTAGGAGAAAATTACACTTCAAAATTACACTTGCTGATCGATTTTTATCTAATTCTATCCCTGAACGATGCCAATTGTGAACAATTATTTTTTCCAAGTTTAAAAAAACTTTAAATCCAAGGGTTGCCATCTTGGATTAAGTGTACCAAAAAAAAATGCTCTATTTAAAATTTTAATCCGCAGGATCGACTCTTAAAATATTTCCATTATACTGGAGCTGGATCACCGTTTGTACCGGATCGGTGGAAAAATAGTAAATTTCAGTTTTGCGAACGTAAAATGTGGTTCCTAAAGTTCCGTCCCTTAAAAATTTGATTAAGCTGAACCACACAAGAGATCGCCAAAACAGCGAAATGCAGGACTCCAGAGACTTTAACGCAGGGCAGGAAAGTAGGCGTGCCGACATATGCCGTGCTAGGGGAAAACGTCGTGTGAACATTCAAGAGTTGCCAAATTTCTTCTCAAAAAACAGTTATTTTTGAAAAACGTCATGAATATTTTTCCTTGAAATTTTCAGGAACTTCAGGTGAAATTGCCAACAAAGTTATCTGATAAAATGGAGGGAAAATATTTAAAAATTTTCCCGAAAATTCGTGATATACCAAAGGAAATGTGGTGACGCCTGTAGGTTCATCCGACGTTTTTCCTTAGGACGGCAGATATATCGACGGTGAAACTACCAAACCACGTATCTCGGTTTGCGACGTCGCAGACTTCCTGTCATACTTTATTTTTTAAATGAAAAACTACTTAACGTCTAGTCTTGAAAATTTCTGTGATTTTTCCTCTTCGTGCGGAGAAAATTTTGTGAAAATTTCAAGGAATGATATTGATTTGGTCTACTTCAAAAAAATAAAATGCGAGCGTAGATTTTTAAACACCGCAAACGAGATACGTGGTTTGGTAGTTTCACCGTCGATATGCGAGTTGCTTGACGCATGGAGACCCTGTTATTTAAACTATCGATGGTGAAACTGCAGAACGGTTTGCAGCGTTGCAGACTTACTGTCATACTTGATTTTCTACATGAAAAACTACTGAACGTCATATCTGGAAAATTTCAGCGATTTTTCTTCATTTCACGAAGATTATTCTGCGAAAATTTCAAGCCATTGTGTTGGTTCGGTCTCCTCTTAAAAAATAAAATCGGAGCGGAGATTTCGAAACACCGTAACCGAAATACGCACTTCTGCAGTTTCACCATCGACTTTTAGATTTTTCGTGGCACAAATGCGTTTTGCCTCTAACATCGATCGGCAAAACTCAAGATTTGCAAAAAGAGCGACGGGTTATGGCTGCAAATGTGGACAAGTTGCCAGAGGGGGAGGGGGGTGTGTAATTTGTAAGAACTTTTTTGGGTGGAACTGAGCTAACCACGTGAAATCGTGCAAAAAATTATATCCGCGCATCAATGTTTAGATCTCGTGCCTCGCCTGCCACTTCGATTGACGAAAAACGCGATTTGTTGTATGTGTGACAGATCACAGTTGCAGATATTCGGGCCTAATTTTTTGACCTCTCTCCCGAATCCGAGCGACGCCAAATTGGCGCAGCACAGAGAGCGGAGCATTGTGAGTTCACGCCTGCGCGCCTTCAATTTTGCCGATGCAGCACGGACATCCATTAAGCACGAATAGTTGTATCTCTGCGCCGGCATCAACGCGCGTCCTTTCCCTTGCTCTATTTCCATGTTGGGTTTCGTGTTTCGTTTGCCTTACCTGTAATGGTAATTCAAGGGCTACTTGAGCGACACAGCCGAGGAAAGGAGACACAATGTGGCCTCCTTTTTAAACTTTTCTGCCGAATATGAGTGACACCTTTTTGGCAGCATAGGGCAGAGCGTTGCGAGTTCAAGCCTCATGCCATCGCACCTCCAATTTTGCAGATGCAATACAGACATCTATTAAGCATATGAAATCGATTTGCACGTATGGCTGCAAATAAGGCATAGTTGGGGGGGGGGGGGAGTATTTGTGAAAACTTTTTTGGGGGAACTGTGGTGAATCACGTGAAAACGCGCAAATATTTGTGGCTGTGCATACGTTTTCAGATCTTAGCGGCAATCCTTAGTGCTTCGCCTGCCACTCTGATCGATGAAAAACGTGATTTGCTATAAGTAGGATTGATTCCAGTTGCGAATTTGGCTACATTGAAGTATTAAAAATAGTATTCGAAAAATGTTGGAGGGAAAACTGTGCTAACCACGTGAAATTATGCTGAAAGTTGTGTATATGGACGAATTTCAAGATTTTTAGCCGCATGTATTCATACCTTACGGGACCTGCCTAAGTGCCTACTCGCCCAAAAACGCTACCTGTTTACTTCAAAACTGCGATAATACTATAAAAAACATCGGAATGGATGTATTTAAAAAAAGATCAATTTGTACCCACTTGGGACTTCGTTTAAAAAAAAAATCTTGGGCATCAAAGGGTTAGACAAAAGAAGGGAGAAAGACAAAGCATGTGTTGATCGTTAATATCAATGTTTATTTTTCATTTTTAACAGACTTTTTCTGAAAATAGAAAAATCAAATTCAAGTAAATTAAATTAAATAAATAAATAAAACTAAAAATAAAATTGCAACAAGGACAAGAAAAGGCCATTATTGAACAAAAACAAATGTACAAAAAAATGATAGAGATTAACGGATGAATCAATGACAGGTTTGTAAGTACAAAAATCTGTGCGTGTTCATTTTGATTTCCACCTTTTGGACACAGAGTCAGAGTGTATCAGGAGCAAAAAAAGTTAATTTTGTCAGTTTGGAAAAACGGCTATTCATTGAATGGTGGAAAAATTGGTCATCCAAATGCAAAAGTAATTACTACTCCATCATTGACAATTTCACTGCCGGGTCAGTCATAGTGACCATTTTGTAGAACGGACTTTTTTAGTGTTGGCCACATATTGGGGTAGTCATAGTGACCATTTCGTTCTGCAATTAGTAACCAAAAAATAACAGCGCTAATTGTTTGTCTATGTTGAAATTAATTATGCAATACTCATTACGACACAATCCGGAGCTAAAGTTTAAGGTTACAATATTCACTGAAAATAATCTTTGACAGTTTCCTTATTTTCTTCCGTTTTCTTGTTTTTTTTTACCTTTTTCCAAGCTTGACAGGACAGGAACAATTATGCACAACAAATTGGCAGTAAGAGTGCTATAATACAAAATCAAGCATTGCAAAATTTTTGTACAGATTTTCCCTTCAGTTGTGATTGAGAAATAAAAAATAAAAAATAAAATAAAAAAATTAAAAAACTAAACAGTGCAAATTGGATCCGACAGAGTTATAAAAAATTTAGAATTACTTGTTTAACATGAGCCTTAAAGTTCGTTGAACTGAAGATACTGCTTCATTATAAATATTATCATATGACTCATTATGGCTAACTACTATTTTTCATAAAAAGATCTCATGGCAGTAAAATAGGCATGGCAGCCTAGAAATAATTAAAAATTAAGTAGAGCAAACGTAAAATCATCGGCATAGGAGTCCAGAATTATTTAACTCTATAGTACAGCACCTTTTTGGGACTTATACAAATGACTAAATTTTCTTTAACAAATTAATTTTGAGGATAGTTCCTTGTCTTTTGCCAGAGTTATGATTACAGTTAATTACAGCAAATTCATTTTGTTAGTCACACTAATCTTACTCGTTAGATTCTTTTTTCGAGGATTAAATCACAGTAAGAACTGGTAAGATTCTGTTCAGTGTTAAAAGTTAAAACACCATTAATTCACCAAGAATCGGTTATTTCAAAAGACAAAAATTACTAAAATCTTTCAGTAGAAGTTACTCTATCAAATATTTAGTCAATTTTAATGTTTAAAAATACTAAATAAACATACAGAATATGTACAAAGAGTAATGGGAATAGCTGATTCGACCAATCAACATAAAATTTTACAATCTCAAAAATAAATATACATACTGAAACAAGGCTGACATTAGTGATCACATTATTTCAAATGAACCAAAAATGAATCAAGGCTACAGTCAAATTTCCCTAATCATATTATTCACATCTATATTACCTAATGAGAGAAACCAACAACAACAGACATGTAATAAGGCAGCATCAAAGACTTTTTGCAGGGATGTAGTAGTTTTTCTAATATAAAATTTCGTGATAAAGCCAAAATAAAAGTTCATTAAAAAGTTCAAAAAGTCACTTCTAGTGACTTTTGAAAGCTACAGGAGGTTGTCTCAGTAAAATTAAGTTTTCTCGAAAACCCTTCAACCGATTTTCAAAAACTTGAGCTTGTTTTAAAGCTTAGAGTATGCCTACTAATAATGTAATCTTTCCCGATTTGATTTATCTCTTTTTGTTCGGAAGATACAAGGTAGGGAACCTTACTTTTTGGATGACCCTTGTATGATAATACCTTAAATCATACCCTGTCTATTGACCAATTTAATATAATTAGCTACATTTCTAACAGGTTTAGTCTATGATGAGTTCATAATGAAATATATGAAACAGGGAAAGCTGACTGTGTTACACATACATGCACTAATACATCTCTCACTAGACAAACACCCAGACACAAAACAACTGTAAGTACACTTTAACAAGATCATAAAAAATATACCTGTACAAACAACGTTAGTTTTTCTAAAATTTGACAAAAAGACAAAAATTACGAAAAAACAGAAGGTTTCGAACAAAACTTCAGCAAAGAGTAATATACACTAGTTTCCCGGAAAAGGCACCAATTTTTACCTTACAATAATGAAGGTTACCTTAAGAGTAACATTAGCAGAAGTAATTGACAGCATTTTACAGTATGGCACTTCATAAACAGCGAATTTATGAACATGAGTAATATGAAAGAAAGGAAGAAATAGATCGATCTTTTGCAAAATACCTGAGGCTATTCGATTGTAAGATACAATATGTGGGAACAAAATACTTTGTTCTTTTAGATATTCGATTTAGCCTCAGCAAAAATGACAAAATTTGTGACATAAAGAGATAAATAAAATTGTCAGCAGGTAAATCATCGGAAAACTATAAAATTGAACTAAAAGTTAGGGCTTCAAAAAAAGAATGTATAATAAGTAAGAAGAGAAAAAAAATATTATTAACAAAGATAGAAATAATACTGATAATATAAAAAACTTATCGGTAAAACTGACATATTTGGTCAATCTGAGGGATCATTCATGATATCAAGAGAAGATAATAATGCACGATAAAAACGTTTTTTAAGAGCACTTGGAGATTGAGGAACCTTCACATGAATGAAACACCTGACCTGAACAATACGTTAGTAAAAATTTATGACTTTAATGAATCAATGAAGAGAGCAAAGCAAGAGAGAAAAGAGCCATAGATTTTAAAAAAAAAAAAACGACAATTTAAGACTAGTTGGAATAATTCAAATTATTTTCTATGTACACATCGGTCATTTACAATATTAAAATACACAACAGTAAATAGATTTGAAAATATTAAAAATTCTACTATAGACAAGAAAGTTTTGCAGACTGCATTAAGTTATGTACAAATTTTTGCTTTGTAAATGTGTTTTAAACTCGCTTTTGAGAGCTGATTTTGCGCTCCATCAAAGGGCTTGAAGTCAGAATGAAGAGAAAAAAGAAAGTCCACATACCACATTTGTAAGTGTGAAAATCAAAATATTTGTAGAAGTGAACCAACGTTTTAAAGAGCATAGAATTTTGACCCTAGGCTCTTCTATTCAATATGTGACATTGCCTATTCCCCCTCCCCCCTTTTACTGCAGGTTCATGCATGCAGCGATTGGTAATTGTTATTCTTGCATGTAACCTTGCAACCTACCCTCAATAGCTTACCTATTTAAACCAAAACGTTTCAAAGTAAAAATCGCTGTATAAAAATTGTATTATCGAACAAATTTCAGATTAACATTTTTGCCAACATAGAACTTGTCGGGATGCCATCGGTTTTTTTCCTCTATGTCGGAACAAAAATTTAAAAAATCAAGCAACAAATTATATAAAAAAGAAAAAAATTAACCATCCCTTGCGAGGATGTAAAAGTTATAGTATAGAAAAACAATTCCTCTTGTGCAACAGACAAAACGGATCACTGATTTAAAACAACATATGGGTAAAGATGGAAGCAAAAACCAGAGCGAGACAATTTTTCCTATTGACAAAAATCTTGGTTTGCCTTTCAAGCTGCTTTTTTTCGGTACTCAATTTTACAAAATATACAAAGCAGAGACATGAAATAGTCTGAGAGGGGAAGAGAAGACACTTAAACGCTAGCCGAATTGAAAAATTCATCAAGCACGAACAAAAGCGATGTTGCGATAAGAAACATATTTATCGAACAATTAACCGTTTGTGCTCAACAAACTTTATCATTCATTGACTGGTAAGTAGAGGTAGAATTCAGCAAAGCAAGAGTTTGCTTTAGTTTCCGGTATAAATGGGGTTTTTGTACGTTGATGTGGCTTGCTTGTAGAAAGGATTCTGGCACTGTAAAACAAAAACAATAAAATTGTAAGCGAGATCATTAAACCATAAAAAACTGCTTTCTGCTGGAATTTAAAAAACGGATTTAGGCATAAAACACCATTTTAGAATCTGACGTGCAGAATGATTATCCGAGGGGCTTGCAATTTGAGCAAAAGGACAATCTTGAAACTACCAGCAGTACTCCTTGAGTGATATGCTACTTTCATAGAAAGGATATTAAATGAAAGGACCATAGATTACAAATTATAGAATTTAAAATTGAGGAAAATTATTGTATGTAATAAAAACAGAGGCACTGGTTGGGAAAAAAACAAACTTACTTTGACTAGCAGTACAAATGTACATTACTAGTTAAGATGCTGGTGATCATAAATGAATGCCAATCCCTTATTTTATTCAGAGATGAAATATGACAAGCAATAGGGTCTCTTGGTAACAAGGGTTTATAGAAACGATAAAAAGATTAACTTACTGTATCCCATTTGGCCATTTTAATTTCTTTCTCGAACTTGGCACATTCCCGCTGATCATGGACATAAGTGATCATCTTCCATAACAACAAGAATCCTAAACCAATCAGCACGATTGAACCAATCACGACCAGTACCACACCTGAAAAAATGTAAGAATGATGCGAGTTAGTTAGACTTAAGTTGTGTTATGTTATAATACCAGCTAAGTAAAAATAATATGCGAGTGGAAGACTAGAATTATTAGCCTAAAATGATTAGAAGCCTCAGATGTCTTCAATACTTGTTATTATGATAAAAGTGATACATACTGAAGTATTACATAAGCATTTTGCTTTTTGGCAGGCAAAGCAGCCACTTTACATCACACTTTATGGTTATCCTAAGTGATCTAGGGACGATATCTGCCACTATGTTGTACTGCCACAAAGTCTTGTGTCTTTGAGCAGCAATATTTACTGTAATGTAAAATTTAATGCAAGAAAATGATATTTTACGTTTAGCAGCATTAATACTGAGTAGCACAACATCAAATTTGTGGAGACTCATTGAAAATTTATTTGGGAAACTACCGTAATGGACATCGTTTATTGACCAAATGTCACTAAATTGTCAGAAAGGTAGTAGTAAAGTACCTTACCTAAAGTAATGGGTAACTTACCTAAAATGTGTACTTGCGGAGGGCATTCCCTTTCTTGCTGAGCTCTGAGGACTATTTTTCCATGAACATCGTATGAGTAAACAAACGCAAAGCGACAGTCGTCTTCATCATAAAAGGCACACAAGTTTTCATCTTTTTCTTCATTCACTGAAATTACACAAAATGGAGTCTTGTTAATAAATGAAAATTTGTCTCTAAATTACAAATTATCACTACCAAAAGCACTGAAAGGAAGATAGAAGGAAGAAAAGAGAGGGTTGTAAATACGAACACAGATACACACATCTAGCATTCTGATGTCTACAGAATCACCATAAATAGCTGGACTGCGGTAATTTTTCAAACTTGTTCTGAACATCAGCGTTTTCACTCAAATAGCTCAAACTATTGACGTAAGGTAAATGCCAAGTATTGTACATAATTTTACTATTGTATTATGCATAAGTAAATTCAATGGTTTAGAAAGTTAAACAATTACCTTCAATAACTTCGACAATTTCAGGTATGATAGTGCAATTCTTAGCGCAATCTTCTTGTGAAATAGGACCAGTTTTGTAGACAAGACACTGGATGCACTCCTTGAACTCAGAACACCGACCAGGGCAAGTCTGGAAAACGGAAAAAGACATGAGTGATTGGGAAAAGTTACAAAAAATAGGAATGAACTGACGAATTCTTTTTTCTTAAATGCCAATTAATAATGATCCACTTTAATGAAGAGGAAACACAAGGGGACCAATCACACATCTTCTGAGAATGTGCATGAAAGCAAACAATCACACTAGAGTGAACTTCAGTGATAGAGCATCCTGGATTGTTAAAAATAACAAAACTGTTGTGGGTTAAAAAATGTCAGCCTTTGTCTAAATTATACTTTTAAAACCCACAAGCAGCCGGAAACATTCTAAAGATGCTTATAAACTCACCAAACATGTTGGCGAGAGTGCATAAATACGAGGCCAAAAAAAACCCAAGTTCCAGGGCTATTGAAAAGGAGAAAAATGCTACAAATTAGATTTTTGGCTACTTACAGGGCATTTTTCGCAAAACCTTCCAGAGTATCTCCCTTCTTTTCCTTCATGACATTTACAGGCTCCACACTCGCACTCTCCGTTGCCAGAGCAAATTGTAGTGCCTCCAGGCGGTATGCAGGTGGCGTTGGAAGCACGGCAATCACATGCTGGACCAGTCCATCCGGGCTCACAGACACATTTTCCGCAGACACAATGACCGTGTCCAGGACCAGCGCATAGTAATCCACCTGCTCTGTCACATGAAAAGTTGTCGCATTCACAGAACTGCCCGCTGATGGTCTGAAATTGTGGAAAAATTAATTATTTACACATATTAATACAGAGAATAATTGAGACTGCAAATTAGTCATATAAATGTTCAAAGTATCCCTAAGATATAGTCAGTGGTGCTCGGATTTCTGAGGGGCTCTGAAGTCAAATCAAATTAAATGTTTTATTAAATGTCCGAAAACATTTTGGAAGCAGATTTTCCCCATTTTATTTTTTTTTCTTCAAAAAATTCCCATTGATAATTTCACATTCTCTGCCTCTCCCTCTCTCCCTCCTCTCTCTGTCCCTACTAATTTAACAGTCCTCGGCGAACCGTTTTCGGATGAAGTTCATCAGAAAGAAATCAAGCATATGGGCAAGTTCAAAGAAGCATCTGTATGTGAAGGGAAAAAATAAATCTCAGTTGTACTGATTCTAAAAAGTTCAATAAAGGTGTTCATTTCTGCAAAACTGGATTCAAAATTTAATTCGAGTGGCTGGAAATTGAACTGAATACTTTTTTATCATAGGACAAGTGATGTAACATCGACACTACAAGAGGTTGGTTTGAATTAAAGCCTGAAGAGTCTTTCAAGAATTGCAAATTTTCAGGCCTGAGTCTTCTAAGATAGAAAAATCAGAATAAACAATGTTTCCAGAGACTTTAAAAATATTTCTTCAGAAATTAACTTCCAAAGAGATTTCAACCTGCATAATTACCTCATCAGGATTTCCTCTCCTTTCACATTCACACTGACCACAGACACAAGATCCTCGTCCAGAACAATCTACCAAAGTTGTATTGTCCGGACGACAGCCTGACACTAGATTTGTGTCTCCATGCCTGTTGTTATCAGAATCACATTCACAGAATCTGCCAAAGTGGGATGAGTCGCATTCACAAATGCCGCATTTGTAGGTTCCAAAACCGGAACATTCCTCTGCATTTTCTTTGTAGCCCTGAAAAAAAATAATTTAAGAAATTTAATTACTAGGAGCATATGTACATAGGGAGCCTCAATCTGAGCTAAAATTAAAATAATATGAGAAATTATGTAAAGTGATTATAGGTATATTTGGCACTCAGAGAAAAAGGATTTTTTGTGACAAATTAAGTTGTTGAATTCATTTAATAGGGGGATGTTTGATAAATATTTTGGCGTCATACTAGTTCAAAAAGAAAAATACAAACCAGATTTGTGATGCTCTGCCTTTTGCAGTTCAAAAAAATTCTACTTTGGAGGAAGTGCGATTTAACTTTTGTCATCAAGATTTAAAATTATAGGACTCAAATTTGATTTTATACCTTCACTAGATAATAAACTTCTTATAAAATTTTATATTTTTTTTTTTTTTGGAAAGTAGAGAAAGTTTTCCAATGAAAACTCGAAATTTTTTTTTTTTTTTTTTTACCTAATCTGAGTTACGAAAGTACCTTGAAAAATTCATCGCAATTTTCCTTACGCAAAAAATCTCTTTTACACTAGACGCACTTACACTATGGGATCTTATGCTGAATATAAACTGAATAAATCTTACCGGGTTTCCAGGGTTTTCACAAGAGCAATCACATTGCATTTCCACGTCTACAATGAGAGATTCATTGATACCAACAGGGTATATTTGGAACCTTTGTTTCCAATCTCTCCGATCCTCTGGACAAGCTTTAACTTCAATTTCTGCTTGAAACCGTACCACAGTTCCAACTTTCAAACCATCGCATTTGTTTGTTTGGACGAGAGGTCCATTTTCATCCAGACAGTTTGAATAGTAATTTACTTTGATTGCACTTGAGGCGTTGTCCTTTATCTCCACCGATGATGAAATTTTCTGCAACGCAAAATAATGAGTGTTGAGAAAAAGAGCAACCATGTAGAATTAGCAGATTAAAATTTATCACAACAACCTTCTGCGCCAACCTGGCCCGCTAAATACATTTTCTTGGCTTCAGAAGTTTTTTTTTTTACTATTTCTCCTATGATCTTTGCTCCTTTGCCTTCAAGCTATTCAGAAAATCTTGTTCAATCATCGGCACAATTTCCTTTTAGTATTCGAAACAGAAAAGATAAAACAATATAGACACATGGTAGCTGCTCTTCTAACCCAGTAAATTGCACCAACATTACAACATAGTTTTACCTTTCTGGCTATTCTATTGATTTAGACCTTGTTCTTCAATTTCAAGAAAAATCTTTTATTTATTCTAATTCAAACAATATTTCAATCAAATTGCTATTTTTCATAGTTTACAACTAGACTTATCTTACTCTGTCAGGGGAAGTAGCCTCTTAATCACTCATAAAATAGAGGTTGATACAAAGTCTGAAATGAGATATGAATTACACTTACATTGTATTGATCCTTGACAAGTTCCACAACATTGGCTGAATCATTTGATAAGGTACCGTAAGAAGATCCTTCAACATGCTGACCTAATTTTTGATACACTCCGATTTGTTCCTTGGTAACAGCAAAAATCAAGTTGATGGCGTTCTGTTTGACTTTCAAGTTGATCTGTTCACAAAAAAAAACACGCAATTAAGCAAAGAAAATAAAGGGATCAACTCTGCCGATGTAAATGAAGACTGTAAGGGGACAAAATTAATTAGTTTAAATGAAATGTGAAATGTCGAGAGTAAATTCAGTGCAGAGTTAATATACAAATATTATATGATTAAACATCTGACACCCAACCTGACCTAATATTAAAATGAAAAATTTGAAAATCTAAAGATGTTTCTTCTGAAGAAACTTCCAATCCAAGTGAGTAGATAATTCTTTGGACAAAAGCTGATGGATGAAAAACAATCAAGGAATATATTTTCAGAATGAATTTCAAGAACTACTACTGCTTAATTTTTTTATACTATAATAGTGTGCATAGTTACAAATGAAGTAAATGTTACATTAAAAACTTAGTTGAGTCATAAATTCACCTGAGAAATTGATGGATAATCCTGGAGAACTGAGTGCGTGTATTGACCTCGGCGATCTAAATGGCATAGACCATCATTCGGTTTGACGATACCGCCAAGCTGGAAAAATAAAAGATACAGAGTTTAATTATATTCTCAGCAGCTTCCTCTAAAAACATTCCATTGAATAACTGAGAAAAACAGAAAGTAAATCAACAGGTGACTTCAATCACAGACAAATACATTTCTGATGAAATCAATCGAAGTTCTCAACTTCATGCTTAATTCGTGCTAAGAAATGAGATACTACTGTACTAATTTTCTTCAAATAATGAATGAAAAATTGTGAGGATAAAGTTAGCTTAAGAAAGATGGAATGACTGAAATTCCATCTCATAAAAAACGATAAAATATGAGGCATTAGGTCAACCCACAAATATAATTACTCAGCCATAAAATATAGAAATGCTAGAAAGCAAAATGAATTTAAAAAAATCTGAACTTGGTTATTTTTGAGACTTAAAAAGAGTAAGAAAAAACTTTCATCACTGGTCTTCCTCCAACTAATATAAACTCAACTCATTTTGAAAATTCATTCTTCTAATTGCGTAAGGGAATCCACCCAAAAAGGTGAAAGGCAGTCTCTGAAACGTGATTTGAAAAATAAATAGAAACAGAATTAGGTTCCAAAAAAGTATATTAAGATCAATAATATGGAACCTGTTTCACTGTTAATCTGAGCGCGCTGTTTTGTGTACAGACTCTTCTGAATCAGGACTAGACAGAAATTTCTTTTCTTTTCTCATTTAATTGATAAATATCAGTTTTGTTTGACATAAAATTCCTTACCTTGCCATCACCAGCATAGTGGAACCCGGCATCTGTAGAAAACACCAAGAGCCTTCTTGCTTTCTCCCGCCAACCAATCTGTTCGCGGCACACGACAGCTTGCATGATGGCGTCAAATCCTCCTTCAGGGGCGTCAAGATTTCCAGACACAGCAGCATTCCTGACCAAACCCTGGGTAATTTGAAAAAGTTAGGTGGAGATTAGAAACCAGGCACGGAAATTGCTCATTAGAGAATTACAGTGACTTACTAAAATCCTAAAATTACTTGAAATCATTCCACAATTAAAAAATAAGTAAGTTAAATAAAGGCAAAGTGAAGGGAAAAATTCATTAATATTGATACTTGAATATTTACTAGACCAAACAACCATGAAAATTAAATGGCTGATTTTAATAAAATTTACCTGTCATTGGCTTTTGAACCACGTAACTTTAAAATTAATTTTGATTACAGATTAAATTATCAATGATATTAAGTTCAAAAGGATCTATTTTTTCCTTGATCGAAATTGTAATTGATAAAGTACAGCCTTGTCTTGAAAACAACAGCTTAAAAAACTTAGACTTTACTAAGAAACTGATGACTGATATAGTGTATGAGTGTAATATTATTTAAAAATAACAATGAACAACAAATGAATATTAGGTACACTGATGTGAGAAAAGCAAGCATTTGTGAAACATTGAAGTTAAACATCAGTAAAGCTGTCAGTAGGATACTCAGTAAGAACTAGATAAATATGGCCTTTGATCTCTATGCTGTCAAGGAGGAGTTAGGTCTTTGCCATAAAGTTTCTTTGACTTTATAAATGGACATCTTAAACCTAGAACCTTATGTTTCAAACTTTCCCTTGGTAAAACAATCCATCAAATTATTACAGAGAGCCAATAATAAAATATTCTAAGTTACATTTATAGTGAATTTTTTAATTCTGCTTTAAACTAGTACAGTATCCTCTTTTAAGATGTAAATCAATCATTAACTATTATTACTGAATTCCACAAATGTAATAAGGTTCGATTAATTTTGTCGTTTGTTTGATTTCTGACTCCTTAAAATAGAAATGTAGTGCTTTGAGAGTAAATTCAAAAAAGGGAGATACTAGTCTGTATAATATACATGGGACTGTCTAGAAAGTGTGTGAAAATCCCAAAACCAATAAAACTACAGAAAAAAGTAACTTACGGCAAATAAACTTGTATTCTGGCTCAGGGACATTACATTTTGGAACCCGTAGGGAGCGGCACAAGCCGTGCAAGGCTCCACTAAGCTGTGGAGAAATACACCAATGGTCAGAAAAGTGCGGAGCATGCGCAAAAGAGAGATTAAGCAATGTTTGTGGGTGCAATAGACTTTGGACAGACTTGATCATCCAATCTAACAATAAATGGTGCGGCCTAGGCTGATAGATGTGTTGAACCGAAGATGAAATGGTTGTTAGAAATGCTAAGTTTGTCTGAACTGAGTTTTTTCTATTTCTTAGAAAATGCCACTGATCGAATGATTTGTTGCATCCAAAGTTTATTGAACTTTTAAACACAGATAGCTCACAAAACAGCTGTAACATCTAAATAGATTCCTGCTGAACTGAGTTAATATGACACTTCCTACAGATTCTGTAACGCACTGCTGCTTGAAAGGCATGGAAAAGTATTAGTATTGTGATGTCACAGGATTTCAACAAACATTTAATAGTTTACTGAGCACAACATCAATAATTTATCCAGGATACACTAAAAAATATCACAAACAATTTTCAAAAAGTTTGTGTGAAGGTTCATCTAGAATTAAAATGTTTCCATAGCTATTTCGGGACAAATCAGAGTAAATTAGCTCTCTTACAAAGCAGGCGACAAAAATTTTCGCCTTTTCAGTTAAGATTACAGCATTAAATATGAAAATATACACCAAAACTAAAGCTTTTCCATGACTGCAAGGTAAAAAGTATCCAATAAAATAAAATCACACGAATAACAGAGTAAATCTGAATCCTGTGGTTTGAAAACACACCATCTCACTTTTTCCAAAAACAGCATTTTTGACCAATCCTGATCAAAATACATATATATGTTTTAAGTTTTTCATTTTAAAAAGAAGAGATATCTATGAGAGAGAGCTAATTGGTCAAGTCACGTGATAGGTGGGTTTGATGGAAAAAGGTCTTGTGTAGGGTTCCTGAAAAAGAAGATGGCTTGTTTTCAAACTTTGTTGTTCGATTCAGGAGACTGCAGTTAAAATTGTACAGGCAGTGATATGTAAGTGCATCCAAATTGCCATATTTTATTGAGGAATTTCTAAGTTACGATTTATTATTTTGCTTCCTTTTCTACAAAAACTGGTGTTGCATCAAACAACATACTTTTCGGAAGGAACTATTGGTACTATTGCGCTTCACAATCATGCACTGATGGCTATAACATCATATATATCTAAAAAACTTCAGATCCTGGTGCCTTCTCGTCTTTGAACCCTCTGAGAAAATAATCGAGGGCACAAAGAGCCCTAAAATCTGATTTCTATTAGTGAAGGAGAAAAAGATGAAGTTCTGTATTACTCGTAACACATCGGTTTCTGGGGTACATTTGGACATTTTGACGTCTAACTTCTTTGTAGTTTTAAAGAAGTCCTATACTTACAAATTATTTTAAATCGATAAGGATAAAACAACTGCTGAGAATAAAGCCCTCTTTTAAAACATCTGTTAAAGTCCCTGAGATACAATTAAGCTAAAGTAATAGGTGTGATTATAAAAATTAATGAGAGCATTCCCTACAAATTTTGCGCTGGAATCTAAAGAAAGCTGTGAGTTTTGAGTGGACAGAGTGGTATATAATTCAGGGCGCATTAATACCGAGACAGTGTGGAGATAGAGGAGTCTACTTTTTCCCATAACTGAAAGGGATTGTGATTGGTTAATAATTTACACTCGAACAACATTGATTTTATTAGACCAACTGAGAGGATGCATAGCAACACCGAGAGGCAGGGTAGCAACTACGGCTGACTTACAGAAAACAGGGCTGTTCCTGTGCTCAGAGACATTTGGTTTCGGAAACCGTATGGAGCTTCACAATTGTCACAAGGAGCGATTAATCTAAGAGAGGCACAGACTCTAGATTAATTTAAAAAAGGAATAGAACGATGGAAAAAATTAGAAAAAATTTTGTTGTTTCTCGCAGTAAAATTAGTAAACATTGTTCTATTCAGTGTTGAATTGCTTCTATGTTTTCCATTCAAGTTCTGAATGACAAAATTAACTCACAAATTTTCATAAAATGATCTATTCAGTAGGTCAAAACAGATAGCAAATTTCGAATAATATGATGAGATACTTACTTTTTCGGGACTATACTAACATATGGCATGGTAACTTTATCGACAAAACTGCCGAAACCTAGTCGGAAATTCGATGTGATATTTTGCATACTTTCTGCCAGTAGATCTCCAAGGAGTGACAGTTTCTGTTTGTCATCAGCCATTGAATTTGACAAGTCCATGAGGTAGTAAAGATCTACAGGATAATCTTCAGCTTGTGAGTAGTTGAGCCACATTCTATACACTTCATCTGGAAAAAAAAGAATTGAGGGGTTAAAATAAAAAAAAAGAATTGAAAGTAGCCTGAAACACCACAATGACTCATACATTTATTACAGATCTAATAGATAGACTCCAAAATCATACCCAAGTGAGATTAAAATTTGACTAGTTTGGCTAAAGCTTAGCGGTGTAGATTTCTTCTGAGAGGCACATTTTCCCTATTAATCCTTTCCAGGTAACTAATAAGTTAACCCTTTTATCATACAAATCAAAGGCTTCTTGAGGATAGTCGTAATTATTTTTTCCTTGTAAATCTTCTTGTTTTTCCGTACATCTACATGTAGTAATGTGATGTTAAAAACTGCCTACAGACTGAAATAATAGACGATACTTACTTATTCTAAGTTTTAAAGAGACGTGTTGAGGAGTGATCTGTACAGCTTCCCTACTTCCAGCACCAAAAGATCCTCCGCTGGCGGTGTTCTTTATACTCGTGCTATGTGAATGACTATTAGCTCGAGATAATTCTCTCATTTCTAAAATTGAATATACATTGTCAGGATTTACAACGAAAGCTTCATCGCATTTCAGCAGTAGATCAGTGTTAATGTTCGGCTGGAAACACCGCTTCTGATCAGAAAAATTCTGTAAAAAGAGAAAAAAGGAGTTAGGTGCCATAGAAAAATAAGGAAATCTTCAAATTTGTCTTCTTTTTTTCATCATGAGAGTAACGAAAAGAATGAGAAGCTTGCCTTCTGTCTTCTGCACGGCAAGTCTTGATGGATTTTTTATGGCGGAATTAAACTGAAAATCAAGAGTGCCAATTTAATATTTTTATTTCAATCGTCAAGAAGTTTAAGCTCTTCGGTGCTTTTCATGAAATCCTACGTGGTCTCCAAAATTTACATCACTGTATGTATTAAGGTCACACCAAATGAGTACCATGCCCAAGTGCTGATGGGCTCAGGATAGCTCTAGAGCTCACTATGATACCAATTTGTTTTAAATTACCTATTTAAATTTTTTCGGTATAATTTCTGTAAACCTCATGAGAGGTTGCAATTTATTTTTTTCCCCCTTCATTGTGTGATCATTTACTGTGAACTTATTGACTCAAGCGCCGTAATAATACTAAAGAAAACAGATATACGGAAAACAAGCTAAAAGTTAAAAATTTACATTTTCTGTAGACAGGGGCTTGAGGAAATTGTATACTTATGTTCAGATAACTTTAATTTTGAACTTGTGAATTTCGAGATTATTTCATACCAAATCAAAAAATTATGGTGAAAATGTCTTCTGAAATTACCACCCATATACATACATGAGGAAAAATAAATATACTGAGGACATGCTGAGGACAGACATGTTTACTTACAGGTTCTGCGCACCACGCACAAGTGGGCGTTTGTATGCACTCGGAACATGTTTGCTTGACGATACAAGGATTTTGACTAACTAGTTTCTCCGGTAATTGACCATACGTTGATGATATACATAACATTGAGACAACTATGAAAAACATTATCCTAGGGTACACTCGGGCAATGTCGCTTTTACACCGTCTCCACCACCTTAATTCCATTTTGAGGTCCTGCAACACAACGAAACGATACAAATTAGCTTTTTCGCAAAGTAACAGCACTGAAATTAAAGTGCAAGGAAAAATGCATCTGAAAAATTCAATGGTGCAGTGGCAGTGAAAAAAGGAGGACAGAAAAGGCAAGTTGATAAGAGACGCATACTGCGTCGATTATTCAATCTCCTGAGAGTATTATTACATTTCACTTCATCACTTACTCCATCTCTTATCACTTCCATTGTAAGTGAAAACGTATCTGTTCTTATCAAGCGATAATAAACAAAGAAAGAAAGAAAAAAAAAAAACATTTCACTCCAATCAAAAAAACCTGAAAGGTTCCAAGTCAAAGGATATGCTGACCACCCAAGTTCTAAGCCCTATATTTATTTTAGCTTGAAGGCAAATTTATCGGATTTCGCCTTGCTCTTGAGGAGAAATCTAGTGTACTAAGAACTGGGAACAGAAACTCACTCTTTAACAGGAGTGCATGCAATGCATCTTCAAATCCCAGGAAGCAGAGCACTTCCACTACATGTCAGCAAACTATCTTCACACTGGTGTCAAGTTGTCATAAAGTATAAAATGTGTCTTGACATTATGAGCTGGCGAACAGTTGAGTCATTAGGAGCAAAATGCTGCGACTCGACTGCACGCTTCAGTAAAACATGTTCAACAAGTTCCTTACGTCCACTCTTCAAATTTAACAAAAAATTTCAGAAGGCTGTATTGTCTACAGCCTCATAAAATGTATATGTGTTCCTCGCAAAAGCTTGGCGACGGTTGTCTTGCCGCCGCCCCCCCCTCCCAAAAAAAAAAAAAAATGTTGATGAAAAAGGAGGAATGGCGTTAAGGGCCTTACCGGCCCATCTGGATTTTGCTAAATTTTTCAAGTTTGCAAAGTACTAATCTTAGGTAGAACTCGATGCCAAATGAATTGGAGCCCTAGCTTTCATTAATTACGCAGAAAGCTAGGGCTCATGAGTTTCCGGACTTACGCCCTTATCGCAGACACCGCTCCAGATATATAACCGGACGGAGCCAGTGGCGAGTCGTGCATGATCGATTATCGATATTTCCCCATTTGAAGCTACGGTAAAGAATCGATTATTGAGGTATTCGTCGTGGACACCGCTTCTATCGATCCTTTCCCATAGACTTGAGTGGCAGATAAATCGATGCATCGCAAAACACGCCACGCCACTGAACGAAGCCCGTGCAAAGGCGCAGTAGCGCCTCAAACGCAAAATGCTATAGTTACAAAACACGATTATTGTGTTTCGTATTTATTCTGAATTCATATTTTTATCGATAATCGCACGATCCATAGCAGGGTGTCTACTAAGACAGGCTGGCCAAAAATCAGTACTTTTACAGTGCTTTTTCAGTGCATTCCCAAGAAATCTAGTGCCTCCTAGACAGAAAAATTCAGTATTTTTTCAATACCTTCAACTGACGAAATTCGAAAAATTTCAAAAATTTGAATTTCCCGCTCAAATTGCAACAAAAATTTAAGAAATGCCGGACTTTTTTGCAAAATTTCCGCACTTTTTCAGTACTTCCGGACCGCCCGTGAAAAATCAGTACTATTTCCGGACTTTCCGGAAATTCCGGACTTGTAGACACCCTGCATTAGAAGAGCCGTGATTCGAAGTTTCAAAGCGTGAGTTTGAATATGCTTCTAGCCCCCCGGGAGACGGGAGTCCCGTGTCCACCTGGCAACCGGGAAGCGACACGAAAATCCTGAGCGATAATCGTTATCGATGCAGGAGGAAGAGCATTTAACGGAACAAACCCAACGACGACGCGACCCGAGCGACCGGCAAACACGAAGAATCGATAGCGAGCGAGGCACAACCGCGCCCTTTCACGGGGGTTTTAACTCGGTCATGATTACTTCTTTTTTTATTATCAACGACTCCCCGAACCCCGGAAGAGGCACCTGGAGAATCGTCCAGACGTCAAGCTCAGTCATTAATCCCAAGAGATCAATACAGAATAATGGCATCAGAGTGATTCAGTGCACCCCCACCCCCCTCCCCTCCGCACCCATCAAGTTTTTACCAATGGGTCAGTGACATTCATTTCTAGTGTATTTTCCAAAAGAAATACATATAGTTTTCTTCATTTTTTGGAAGGACGGGGTGAACTAAGCTCCTAGGATTTTTTTTTAACCATAAATGGACGTATTTCTATCAAACAGACCTATGTGCAAGTGAGAAATATAGGGTGTGCTCGTTTGTTCTCTGGCCGTAGGAGTGAATGAGAATAATAAAGTGCCAGTGACGTCAGCGGCAATGAAAAAGCGAGGGCGCATCGGGGGAATCGTCGTCAGGGCGCTTTAACTCATGAGCCCTGTCCACAACGCTCTCGTCCCATCCTCGTGGCTCATGAATCCTGCATTCAGTTGCCACATAGGTCTGTTTGATAGAATGTAAAATCCCGCTTTTCCAATTCTTCAAAAGGAATCACGCCCACTTTTACATTGCTTCTTATGCAGCTACGACGAGCACACCCCATATTTCTCACCTGCACATAGGTCTGATTGGTAGAAATACGTCCAAATGGCAAGGAAACTACGCTATGAACATGCCAAAGATGGGACCCTTTTGGAGCGATATTTTTGGTGATAAGTGTCCAACTACCAGGAAGCACAAAGAGTTGTACTATGACTGCCGTGACTTTTCCTATGAATTTCGTGACTTCCGCAGGTCGACGAATATTCCTTAACTTTCCTGGTTTTCTGGACAGCCGGAAACCCTTGCTGCGGTTCCTTCCAAAGTTCCCAGTACTACTGTCACCACGACGGAAAGACTTCCAGCAGTCATTACATTGTGAAATACTGCGGCGAACACGGTACTACAAGGTTGCCATATTTTTTTCATCTTGAAATTTCCCAAGTTTCCCTGATTTTCCCTCACTAATTTTACTTTCCCCTGACTCCAAAATTCCCTAACCTTCAAATAAAATTTCTACCTATTTTTCTTTCTTAAAAACTCTAACTTTCGCTAAACTTTAGACAAAATTTTCTTGTTAAGAGATCAAACTATGGATAAATGCACTCAGTAGTTGGTTAAAAGATGACAAGCCTTAGAAAATACTAGAAAGGGTAAACAGTTGGAAGATCAATGATATGCTTTCGTGATTGGTGTATGTGTCAGAAATTCCCTGACTTTTCCCACAAATTCCCTGACTTTCCCTGCCATTACCCGGCTTTCCAGATCGTCGGCAACCCTGCGATAAACAGGAGACCCGGGCATTTTAGCGTCCGATTCGGATCGAAGTATCGAGGCCGGCGAAGAATCGCCGGCTGACAGAGGCCGGGAGACTTGCCTTGAGCTAATAAACCAACAGACATGAAACAAAAGACTTCTGGAGAATGGGTAATTGCTCATTGACCGATGGTCGGTGTCCGGCGTCGCATTCTTAGACACCAACGTTGAACAACATCAACGGCGATGACCTGACATCGTTGTATCACGATATTCACGACCGCACAGCATCGCGCTGCATCAGCATCAACCACCTTTGCCGGATCGCCCGGGGAGTATTCTCGCAATGACGGGATCATTGCCGTCTCAACACGTAAAGGGAGGACGGGGAGAAATGTTAAGGAAATTCAACAAATTAAATATTGAAAGAATTTTGTCTTTCTTTCTTCATTGGGATTTTACGCTTAATTTGGAAATTTCTGGCTTTAAATCCTCCGTGTTGACGCGGAAACAGAGCGTCAGTTTCTATACTGCCATGCTAAGGAAAAACGCCGTATGAGCCTTTGACGTTACCTACAGGGTGTCTACTAAAACAGGCGGGCCAAAAATCAGCACTTTTACGTTACTTTTTCAGTACATTCCCAAAAAAGTCAGTACCTCCTCAATAGAGAAATTCAGTACCTCCATTTTACGAAATTCAAAAAATGTCAAAAATTTAAATTTCTCGCTCAAAGTGAGACAAAAATGACCTAAAAGTGAAAAAAATTACGGACCTTATACGGAATTTCCCTGCTTTTTCAGTACTTCCGGATCCCCTTAAAAAATTGGTACTATTTACGGACTTTCCGGAAATTCCGGACTTGTAGAAACCCTGTACCAACCTTCCTTTTATAAAATGCAAATTTTTGAGGAAATCTGTGAATAGTTTTCCTCCAATTTTTCAGCGAATTTTATTTCCTATCAGATCAATATTATCCGAAATTTTCAAAAGAAAATATTCCTACTGACTCTACTTAAAAACAAACATTTTACTGGAGGAAGTTTGCAACTCTTGAACGTTCATATGGCGTTTTTCCTTAGCAGAGCAAGTTAGGCGAACTGGAAAAGTTCTCAGGCACGCTGTTGACCATCTGTATGTGATACAGAGATGTAGGAACATCCCATCTATGCGACCGGTTCCACCGCGTCAAATGGAGGGACCCCCGTGAGAAGGAAACCCTCTAAGATTTTCTTCGGCTATTTCGTTTCAACGACATTCAGACGCGGAAAATTATATTATTTTTCTTCTTCTTTTCATTCCTTCCTCTTCCTTTGTATTATTACAATCTTCAGGTGCGATGCAGATATTGAATTTTGATTAAGCATGGAAAAGGTCTGATTATTTTTGGGGAGAGGCTTGGAACTTTCTACCGTTGTTGTCTCACAATCAGTGAGAAAGCCTGCGTAAAGCTACGAAAAAGCAAGTCAACCTTGATTTCTTTCAATCAAGTATCAGTGCAGAGGAACATCGATTTTCCGACGAAGGAGTCCAGTCCTCGGGGAAAATTGCAATTTCCCGGAAAATCTCAGGGTTATAGAAAGACATTGCTGTCAGAGGCAAAAAATTTACCCACGGACAGCTCGTAAGTTAACGGTTGAAAGAAAACAAGAGAGAGAAAAGTGTTTGACTTTTTGACGAGCAGAAGCGTGGCGTGCTTTGCGATAAATCGATTGTAATGCCATTTAAACACATTGAAAAAGATCGATAGACAGGGTGTTCGCAGCGAACACCTTAATAATCGATTCTTTACCATAGGTTTAAAT